GAGAGAGAAAAAGAGAGAGAAAGAGAGAGAGAGAGAGAGAGAGAGAGAGAGAGAGAGAGAGAGAGAGGTGTGTCTACTGGACCCAGCGCGCCTAACCGGAATTCCAAAAAATGGCGTGTCTTACAAAGGATTAAAAAGTGCGAACAATAAATGAATTAAAAAAGAAAAGATTGCGTTTTTTGTAGATATATAGGCATTAGCCAATTGAAAATTTATTTTTGATCAAATAAATGTACTACAAAATTACTATTTTACTTTATTTATCATACTTCTAGAACCTTTTTATTACGAAAAACACTTGAATAGCAAATGAAATGTGTGTTTTTGTGTGTATGTTAATTAATGTTTAACAGTTAAGAGCAGTTAACAATTAAGAAAATGACTATGAAAGACTAATGCTTTTGTTGAGCCGAATTCGCATCTTCCCGCTCACTGGGAATTTGTTATCGAGTCCGCGGTACACTATGCGTTCCTCAAACAGTTCTGAAATATATTGCTTGCCCTTCCGCCAAAGGCGGTGCCTGCTTAGTACTCACTCTACACCTCCCCTTCCCACCTCAAGTGACACTCATCCCGCGAAAACATCCGTCACAGCTGGGAGCGGAGATCTGAGCACTCACGTTTCATGATCTCGCCGACACATTCGACACTCATCACTATTTCTGTATTTCTGGGTCTTTAATTATGAATTTAAGGTAGTTCGCTGGGAACACCTGATCTTGGATTGTCATCATAAAGCTTTCACTCTCAGGGTACAAATATCCAATCCAGAGCCATTTGTACGACATTTCTCCGTCGACATTTGGTTTGGCAACTGCAGTAGAATATGCACGGTGGAGGGATTTCTGTAATTTTTATTTATTATTTGTATTATTTAATATTATCTTTTTTATTTATCGGTAACAATATCAAGTTCACTGCTTCATTACAATGAAGTAGTGCACTCAAATATCATTACAGCACTCAAATAACTTATTTGCGTTTACCTGCGGCTCGCTCTGAAATAATAAATGCCTGCCAACTGGTTTAATACAAACATCCAGCATATCATCTCTGGTTGCAGTACACTAGCCCCAACAGACTACATAACGACACACGATCTAGTGAGCCGGATCATCCATACCAAGCTCGCTAAGAAATACAGACTTCTGCAGGACACTGATACCAATATCATCCAGAAACTGTGCTTGAAAGCGAGTCCCATAAGTTGTACTGGGATCGCAGTATTCTGACAGATAGAACAATCCAGCACAATAGACCCCATGTTACGCTCTGGGATAAATCTGCTAGGAAAGTTTAGTTTATTGATTTTGCAGTTGTCAATACCAGAAACATGATGACAACATATCAAGCAAAAATCGATAAATACCAAGAGCTAGCATATGCAGTGAGAAATCCGTGACACGTTGCAGACGTTAAAACTGTTCCAATTGTGCAATAAGTAACCGCAGTCATACCAAAACTTCTTTGCAGAGAGTTGGACGACCAAGGTAGGGACAAGAGTATTATCATCGTTCTTCAAATATCGGTCATCATCAGTACGTGATCATTGGTCAGGAAGTTCATGGAAGGACATAAGGGATTCTGAAGCATTTCAATTTAGCTATTATATTGTAATTTCAAGTTTGATATTTTATATTGTGTTATATTAACTCTGCGTTGTATGGTAAAACAAATGTTGTAAAGGTAAAACAAATCCGTCACAAAGATTTGATGTGTATGGTAGCTGAATAAGACCAATAATGTGTGAAAATGAAATAATAATAATAATAATAATAATAATAATAATAATAATAATAATAATAATAATCTGTACTAATATATAAAGGCACAAGGGGGTTGCGTTACATCGCAATAACCTCTGAATGTGCTAGCCGAATAGCGTTGAAACACTTGTGGTAGCTTCCTTTGAAGGTCAGCAGTACTATAGGCTGTGATTTACAACCATAATTCTTAATATATTCACAAAATAATTACTTTTCTGGACTTTTTTCGACTTGCATTGCATCACAGATTGAAGGGTGCATCAATGTGCAATAGTTTGGCTGCGCGCCACCAGAGGATGACGACTGAGGTCTACGGTTGAGTTCATTAAAATTCATTAATGTGAATTAATTCACAGAATTGCGTAAATCGGCAGAATAGCTGGGGACGTTGTTGAATCGTACGTCAATTATTCAATGCAAAATGTTTATTTTTAAGAACAATTATGACTATTTTTCTTCACTATTTATAAAAGTAACTTTGATATGTATTTTAGTAGCATCTAGTCGGGAATGTATTAAGTGTACGAGAGAGAAGTATACTTATTCGTACATAAAATGTTTGGAAAACGACATTTTGCTGTTGGACGTTTGATATTGTCGTAAAAAGGCATTAATGCAGACGAATGTTCTACATGAAATAGTAATTGCTTTAGTTGTAATAGTATAATTATTACGCATTATATGTTTATTATTATTACGCATTTGCGAGTGGGACGGAGTAGGTCGGAATGCGTCGGGGTGAGTGAAAGTGAAACTTGTTATGAATTATTTACTTGTTAGGCTGAAACTGTGACAGATGGATGCATTTTTGTAGGTAAGTGTTTTATTATGTGGAGAAAGCGTTCCTTCGGCTGATGAAGGAATACTTATTTAAATTGATGAAAGTTCGGCAAGAAGGAGTAGTATTGAAGTAAAAGAAAAAGCGAGAAAT